CTGTTGAGGTTAATTTGAGTTTTGATGTTATTACTGTTGTTGTTTAATAGAACCGCTGAAAAATTGGAGAGCAATCGCCTTTTTCCTGCCTCTGGAACGTTTCATGATAGCGCATGTGTCAACGAAGTTTTGTCAGCTTTACTGTAGTATGTAGAGATCGTTTTTTTTGCGTTCAGACCATAATCGAATAAATTAGACATAAGAATAGAACTTGAGCACTGTGATAGAGTATAATTCCATTATGGGTAAAGCTTATTTTGATAAAGTCTCACAGTGTTTGTTATACAGTAATATTTACTGATGACCACGTCTGGAGCACAATTTATTGCTGCTCATAATCATATCAAGTCACTCACTCACACAAAGTTCTAACTTTGTTTATATAATTCCATCATTATTTTTCATCACTTGGCTTGATTGGTACTTACTTTACTTTACTTTACTTCGGCTATCTCCTACGGGAGGATGAGCCGGCTTCATGAACATCTCGAATCATCGCTGCCCAGGCGCGGCGATCTGATGCAAGGTTTTGCGACAGGGTTATCCAATTCTTGTTCCACAGACGGAGTCCGTAGACGGTTTGTAGCCCCAGGCACTCCATATCAGCCTTGACTGTACCAAGCCATGTTTTCAGCTGTCCACCCCTGTGATATCGCCAAGATGGTAATGGCGAGGGATTTAGAACTGATTTGACCAGATCGTCATCTGGTCGGCGCAGAACATGGCCAAACCACCGAAGGCGACGTCGTTGGACCAGTACTGGAATTTGGTTGATGTTATAGCAACGACAACGCACGAGAGTTCATGAAGTTTCATGGGAATTTGGTACGAGTGATGTCCCCAGAATCGCTCGGCCTTTTGTTTGAGAGTGCAGCTCTAGCCTTTACACAACCAAGTGTGACCTACAAGGCAGTAGGAGTGGAGTAGGGAGTCCACTATCTATTGGCAGCCGGTGACCGGAGTTCTGTTCATACGCCTTTTTGAATGGGGCCAGACATCCAGGACATCCAAGACATCCAACAAGCCCTTTGTCCATACGTCTGCCGGTGAGCTCCGGTGGGCTTCATACGCAAGTCGTTGGAGGTTTGGAATCAGGGTTTAGCCAACTCCCCTAGACTGTCATCCAATGGACAGTCAACCCGATGAAGAACGCCGGGCATCCGCTTTCGCCCTCTAACTTTGGTGAAAAACACCTCCGCCATGTGAAGGCAGTGAGTAGGACTTCCTCAGGAGAGGCTATGTAAGATGCCCGGTCATATGGGAGCATTTCAAGAGGTGTGCGTGGGGGGGTGTGGCCAACCCGCAGCGCAAGGCACCCAACCCCGACCATCCTGAGGCTTTGGAGGCCGGCTTGATTGGTAGTAGTATTTTGCATATTTCTGGTATGAGTGATGAGTCATTCCTGTTGCACGTGTTCGGTGTAGATTCACTCGATGAACAAGGATTCAGTAATCAACCTCTCTCTCTATCTCCACCTACCTATATTACTTCTTAGAATTTTAACCCTCTTCCACCCTATTGTGTGGTTGTGTGTAAATGCTGAGCTTTTTTCTAAATTACTTATCTTCTCGGGGTCAAACATTCTTACTTTAGCCAAATTCTTATGTTCCGACAATCCGACTACCCCTGACCTACTAGTTTGACCTATGTAGCTGACCTAACTCACAGTGATTGCAAGGTATTTTATAACTTATATTATTCTTTCTAGTTGGGTCTACCGGGGCCTTTAACCTACAGAGCTTGTCCTATCTGATTGAGTTTGTAGGTTTGAATGCCACCTTAATTCCTGCTTTATTGAGAATCCTACGTAGGGTCTCAGATGTCCCCTCCTTATATGGTATAATAGTAGATGCTCTATATTCTCTCTTATTTATGTTATCATTATTAGTTTCCATTATTTTTATTTTGCTTTTGACCTTTACTGATACTGCTAATGAATTTTATAGGGTAGTTAGTTAGTTAATTGACAACAACGCTTCTCCCTTCTATCTGTTTCATTTCATCATTTAGGTCTTTTCATGTACTACTTAGTGGCACTACTCGGTTTGTTCGGTCTACATTCAACACGTGCAATAGGAATGACCCATCACTCATACCGGAAATATGGGAAATACTACTACCAATCAAGTCAAACGATGAAAAATAATGATGGAATTATATAAACAAAGTTTTATGAGCAGCAATAAATTGGGCTCGAAATGCGGTCATCAGTAAATATTACTGTGCAACAAGCATTGTGAGACTTTATAAAAATAAACATTTTATCCACAACGAATCTATTTGATCGTTTCACAAGTATACTAGGCATTTCTGACGACCACCAAGACACATGTAGAAATGAAGAAAAGGCATTATCAATGTGTATACATTCTCCATCTATGTTAAAATATATGTAAATATGTGAATTTGTACAAATGAAGTCGACAAAGACAGGGAGCGATAAAGGGAGGGAAACAGAGGGACAGAGAGGAGCGTGATTAGACAATGAAGGAACCCAAAAACAAACAAACAATCAAATAAATGGGACAAAACATTACACAGTTACACTTTCATTTCTATGTGAATTATGCTTTTTATTTTGATTGTTTTCGTAACCTGTGCAAGTTTTCTTCATCACATTTCTAATTATAACCAAAACAGCTCACTTCAACAAAGGAATGAGTGGGGAGTACTTCTTTTTTGATTTGTGAAATGAACAATAACTGACAAACGAAAAAATAAAAGAGATGGGAAACAGAAAGAGAACATGGACGACAAGAATATTCAGTAACTCAAACACACACTGACACTAAGACTGTCTTCTCATATTATAGAAAAACTGTTGGCAGTAATATTTAGTTATAACAGTGACAGTAATAATAATAATAATAATGGTAGTTAATAGTATTAATTTGTTTCAACAATACCCTATAAACAATGAGCGAATGAGTAGATACAATATATAAAGGTATATTTTTTGAATTCAATTTTCAATATTCAATGGTTGGTCTACGCCCGCCATTTTTAATTCCTCATTTTTACCATTTTTGGCGGTAATCTTAAATGTGTATTTTTTAACATAAATTGAGATAATATCACAACGAATGAAGTAATGCTAACCAGTGGATTAGTTAACATTTAGATAACAGGGTGTAGTGTTAATAGTAGTAGTAGTAGTAGTAATAGTAATATCCATTATTAATTATTGAGTAAAAATTTAAGAATCATTTTTATCTAAAAAATTATCTTTATAATCTGATGATAATGTTGTGTGCGGTGAACTTAACCATTCTTCTAAGGAGACAGTCAGCACTGATTGATGTTGTTTTTCTAGTTCAATTCTTTGCTTATATTGATTAAATTCAATGTCCTTCCGTTGCATTAAACGTCTTCTTGAACCAGCCTAAAATAAAAAATATATAGAAGGGAAAAAGCAATAACAGGAAGAGTGATATATATGTGTGTGTAAAACTTGGGCACTGTGGTAGTAAGTAATTCCATATTAGTTTGTTTATTAGATATATCACACACACAGTGTGAAACAGTATTATTATTTACTGGATGACACAGTTTCGAACAAAATTCATTGTTCATAATCATTTCATCAATTATAATCACACGACTTCGAAACTTGAGTTTTATAGTTTCCTTTGTTCTCTCCTATTTGTAGTCGTTGGGGTAGTAGAATTTTGCAGATGTCCAGCTGGACAGATGTTGAATCATTCCTATTACACGTATTCTCCTCAGTTGATTCGATAAACAAAGCTTCTGTTATCCATCTCTCCTCCCCCCGCCCTGTTACATTAGATTTTAAAGTTACCATCTTATCCCATACAGCGTATTTCATGGTTGTCTGTAATTGCAAGTAATGCTATACCTGAGTTATTCTTCAGAATTCTTGCTATCTTATTCGGGTCAACTAATCTAGATTTTGCTAGGTTTCTATGTTCGGCTAGTCTGACTGTCCCTGTTCTACTACTTTGACCTATGTATTTGACCTGACAATCATTGCGGGAAGGGTATTAGATAAACAAAATTATTTTGTTCTAAAGGCTCCACAGGATCCTTTAACCGACAAAGCTTGTTTCTAATTGAGTTTGTGGGTGGTTTGAATGCCAGCCACTTTTATTCCTGCCTTGTTAAGAATACTGCATAAGGTTTCCGAGGTTTCTTCTTTGTATGGAATTACTACTGATGATTTAGATTCCTTATTGTTGGTTGACCCGAATAAGATAAGAAATCTAGGGAATAGTTCAGCTATAGCACTACATGCAATTGCACACAACTATAAAATAGGATGGATGGGATAAGATGACAACTTTAAGATCTAATGTAACAGGGTGGGGGCAGGAGAGATTGATAACAGAAGCTTTGTTTATCGAATCAACTGAGGAGAATACGTGTAACAGGAATGATTCGAACACTCATTCTATGGATATAAACTGGCAATTCGTGACTGTTAAACACATTGAGCGGTGGTTGGTTAGGACTCTAACCGATATCCATGCTGAAAATTCCACACTAAAAAATCAAAAAAAAAAACTAATATCTATAATTGTATATATTGTTGGATTTACAAGCCCAAGTCGGCCAAACTCATTGAGTCTTTGCTTTACGTGTTATTTTCGGTAATTCTACTTTACAATGATATTTTTGACACGGTTTTTGTTGTTCTGATTGCTTTACTTCTTACTTTCCTGGTTCTAAAGGGAGCAACCCAAAAAGTCACTTCTCTGTAACTTACATGCCTATTTAACAACTCCCTTCACGGATGTGAGCTTAGCAACTCCACCCTGTAAAAACACTGTTACAAAAATTCAGTACGATGAGTCACCTGGTGACGAGAGAAAAAGTATGAATGGGTACATGGGACGTCCACATTATGTATGAGACTGGCAAAGCTGGCCAGATTGCGAATGAGATGAATACAGAAAAATGTAAACTCGTGAACGAACGAATAACCACTCAAATCCCTGTGTTTTTGTCTAAGAAATTTTCAAGAAAAATCAATAAATGCTAACCTCCATTATGAATTTACTGAAAAAAACTTTAGAAAGGAAACAAATACACACAAAGTAAGTTTACAAATACAAAATGAACAAAGTTGAATAACTTACATCAAGATAGACAGTTAATCCAAAAAATACTGAGCCAAGACAATAACAACTGAGTAGACTGTACATCACATAATGTTCATATTCTAAAAATTTTGGTTTTGAAGCTGAAACAGCACGTGCTATAGCATGCCAAACTGTCAGTATGACAAGCATGAAAAAATTCACTAGAACAACTTTATCCTATAAAATAAACGAACAAAAACAAGAAATATAACTAAGCTACTCATAAGTAGGTTAAAAATGTCTGCAGAAAAAACCTCAGATAGCTCAATAGTCTATGTAACTTAATGATTAACCGAGAAACGGGAAATAAGACACATCGTAGGTGAGGAAACTTGTGTGAAATGCATCATTTTGTCGTTTTAGTTTATTCTGAGGATATGCATTTCGGCCTATATTAGTACTCGTCAGTCTGGTGTACCTGAACTCCCGTTGAGTGAAGGCGTTTCCACTGAGACTAGGACCCCGCCCCTTTCGTCTCACTCTACTAAGCATTACCCACTAGGCCACTGGGGCCACCTCTTATTTCAGAGGGGTCTTCTACTCAATCAGTTTGTATTTTCTGCCAACTGATTGTGTTACATCTCAATGCTTGGACTCGCTGACATGTCGGCCGCTAGTACAGACGATTCGATTGTGTCTAAAGTTTAATGTTATACTAATATTATAATTCCCTTGGGTTTCAAGTGGAACACAGGGTATCAAGAGGGCGTCTTCATATTATTTACTTCATCAACGAACGTCGAACTCTCTGTTTCACATCAGGGTTCCAATCAGGCGAAGATCTGGCTAGCGATATCATTGAACGGTCACCTGTGGGTGTCTCCTATCTATCTCCTTTCCTTCGGCATATTTTCGGTTCTCAGATTTCCTTTCTGCTAATTCTATCCAACCGGCCATCCAAATGTCAGCATAGAACCAACGATGATTGCAGCTGTTGAGCGAAGTATTCAGCAAGCTGTTAGAAATTCATTTCATGACGCATCAAATTTCTACAACAAACAGAAAACTAACTCAACATTTCTATTGTAAATTCAGATCTTGCTCTTTATGCTGATATCAGAGTAATGAATTTCTGTCTTTCCTTTCCAATCTCGACTTCACATCCTAATCCGTGATGACCGGGGTCGAGGCTTTGTCGGCCAAATAAGTGAAGGGACTTCCTTCAAATTTCTCCCGTTGATAGTGACTTGTTGTTGTTGGTCAGCTATCTTAATCGCCTCTGTCTTCTCTATGTTCATTTCAAGTCCTGTATTTTCTACCTGCTTCTTCTGCTAACTCTTCGGTTTCTGACTGTATACTTTCGAGTTTATGCGATATTAGACATAAACCATCAGAGAAGTTCAGATCTTCTAGAGTCTTCTTATCGTTTAAACGTATTCCTGTTTTCTAGCCCCCAAAAGTCAAAAGTATTATCCAGTCAACCACAGTTATAGATATCATTGGTGATATCAGGCAGCTTCGTCCTAATCCTGTCTTCCTTATTAGGTCTTCACAGAGTTTTCCATTGTGAGTCACTTGACATGTGATATTGTCATGTAACTGTGGAACTAGGCTGATGGAGCTGATGAGGCGTGGCGTGGTTTCTAGGGAGTTCCAAAATATCTTCATGGTTAGTGCTGTTGATGAAGTCTATGAAGTTGGGTTGAAGATTTGACTGACATTCTTAGCTCCATTCGATGAATATGCAAACTGTTGCCACTTAATTATCACATAATTTGCTTTTTCTGAATCCAGTCAACTTGCTCCAGTTGGAGTCCTGCATCCAGCGCATCTTTTAGTCTCTTCAGGAGGACACGACTTCATATTACGCTTCGCGTCGACAACGGTATGATTCCTCTCCAGTTCTTTCAAACGCCTAATTCGGGTATTTCTGAGTAGTTTGACATGATAGTCTTACTCCCGACCAGAGGGTACGCCTTCCTGCTTTCAGAAAAGTTTCCGTAATGGTATGAGCATATCCGTATGTCGGTGGCATAGCGGTTAGGACGCTCCCCGACCATGCACATGGTTCGGTGTTCGATCCCCGACCGACGCACTCCTCTACCTCACTAAGCCAGAAATAATGCTGGTGAAGAGTAAAGGTTGGACATGAGGCTAGCAACCCCATCCCGAAAAAACAAACACTGCTACAGAAACTTCAAGCCACTAGCTTGGAGCCCTATGTTCCACTGGGGAACGTGAAGGAAAAAAATGAGCATATCCACTGTAGTCGTTGTTTTCTGTTTTCAGTGCTCCAGCTTGCATTTCATCCGTTCGTGCTACCTTTCCAGCCTTCAGTAGCTTGATTTCATTCGAAAATTCTTATAATGATTAGCATGATATTATTTCACTTGATGATAATGACTAGTCGTGGATTTTTCAAGCATCATCGAAGCATGTCAACAGAAACCAAACATTTCGTTCCAATTAAACGAAAAATGTTAGAAGTATATTCGTACTACTTATAAAATTCAAAAGTAGCTAAATGTTTCCCTGCAATGTTTCAGTCAATATGGGTTGGGCAAATTGAGCTAGTAAATGGCGACATAAGCTAGCAAACGGTTGTACAAACCGGAAATGCTTCTCAATTAAATGTTACCACTTGAAGGTAATGCACACGCCTAATCAGTCCGTAATCGATAGTGTACAACAGCTGGTTCAAATGAGAGAAGTCAATCACTAGGGCTTATAAAAATTCTACCTCGCTACTTTATATATATATATATATCTTTATATAAGAATTGGGACAAAACAGCTTTCCAGAACTCCCTAATGGTTTCTAATTGTTCTCTAACTGAGAAAAGTTCACGACTAGACTCGAAATCTATCAAATCGTTGTAAGCCAACACTTGGAAAGTAATCTAAGCCTCACTAATGACTGGCTACAGGATGAGGTCAAGAGCAGCGGGCTGCATCAGGTCAGGTGTAACAACAAATACTGACCAATGACAATGGCTGACAATCGCGTTATATCTACTGCAAGGTGGTGGAATTTAGAGTTCATGGGATGGTCAATGAATCTTGTTTCAGTGACTGAATGGTCCTTGAGCTCATCGTGTAACTTGAAGATCTTTATTCCCCTCGATGATGGGGTCATGAGTATTTACCACTGAAGAGTGTCTCAAACAAAGATAAAACAGTCATGCATTACTCTCTGATTTTTATTGGTTCTCTGACTAGACTTAGTTCACCACAAAACTTAAAATGTATACTAAGTCGGAGCAGGAGGTTCATATTCAAGTGTTGGTTTGCTGAGAATTGATTGGTTTCAGGATTTCATCATGAAATAACATCGGTCGAAGGACCATTAGGAAACCAGCTGGGGGTACTGGACAGATGTTTCGTTCCAGGTTCAGACTTCAGTGGGTGTGTGCCGAGGAAGAGTCCCAAACTAGACTGACGAATTAGCTGTCCAGCACTCCCAGCTGATTCTCCAATGGTCCTGTAACCGATGTCAGTTGACAACCAATCAAATATCTACAAACCAACATTTGAATAACAGTCTGATGCCCGCTAGTGACTGGCCCTATTCAGGTAGGTAGTTACTTGGGTTCTAGTGGGAAGCCGAAACCAGTGGGGTACAGAAGATTGATGGGTATGAGGATAAATACTCGCTACGGATGACATTCCCTAGTGGTTACACCATATCGTGAAATGACAGAAGGTGGAATTCATGGACGATTGGATCGGCTCCCAGTGGCTTAATGGTCGTGGATTCGAACTTCAGTGGGTGCCTGCTGCAGAGGAGTCCTAAACTAGACTCACGAAACTGCTGTCCAGCACTACCAGCTGGTTTTCCAATGGTTCTCTAACCGATGTCAGCTCATGATGAAATCCTTTATACCAATTAGTCGGAAGAGATGATAGGACTTCAAGTGAACATAGACAAGACAGAGGTGGTGAAGATAACCAACCAACCAACCAACCAACAACAAAAAGAAACACCAATCACTATCATCTAGAGACATTTGAAGGAGGTTCGCGGTTCCATTTATCTAGGCAATATGGCCTCAACTACAGAAAGCCGGCACAGATGAAGATGTAAAAGACACTATTGGAAAAACAAGACTCATGCTAATGAATTACAAACCGATCTGTAGGTCTAATTCACTGAATATAAAGAAAAAGAGCTGGATTTTGAACACTAATGTCAGACAACTACTTCTCGGTTGTTCACAGACTTGGTATGTCAACAGCAGCATTTTCAAAGGGTTGCTGGAGACTTCTTTCATCAACAGCAGAAGGTCAAATAGCCCAGAGATTTCAAGTCGAAACAAAAAATAACTGTAAGTATACACTAGTAGAAGAGAGACATGATAAAGACGAGAGGTGAGTAAGATTCTGAATAACTTATGAACTTTGTAATGGTGTGGTGAGTTCTACTTAAATCGTAGAAGCAATAGACAAACAAAGTTATAATATGTTAAAATGGGGGGGGGGTAGGTCGTAAAGGTTAAGGCCGCAGATGACGTAACCAAATGAAAGAGATATAATAAAGACATCCAGTTACCAGGGCAAGGAATAACGTAATCAGGTTAAAGACGGAGTGAAGATATTTTATTGTGTACAAACTGTTGTACTTGCTTTATTCGAATTCCGAATAGGGAGGTATTGCAGATATTAACTGCACCCGATCTGGAGGTTATCTATAATCTTAAGCAAACCATGTGTATTGTCACGTACTTTCATTGGACACTAGTACCTAGTGTGATGTGCCTAGTCCTTTGTTGAGTACAGATTGAATTCTATCAGTCAGGTTTTGGAATGTGACCACCATTCTAGGTAGCTTGCCATCACAGTACACTTTCAATTGTTGATGTAAGATGTTTGCAGGCGATCGGCAGGAAGCCTTCCCTGACCTAGGTTTCGTGCTAGTTAGCACTAACCAGTCAGCAAGATTTATCTGGAACCTTGAAGGAACTCATGTCCATTTTGAGATTTGAACCCGCGTCACCCAGTGAGTGCTGCAGTCAGAGACGTTACCAATGAGCTGTTCGGGCCTGCAATTGACCTCCTGTAGGAGTGTATTGGATACTTTTATTGGACATCAGTAACTAGTGTGTGTTTAGTCGCGACCCCGAATAGCTCACTGGTAAAGTCTCTGACCGCAGTCGGCACTGGATGATTCGGGTTCAAATCTCAAAATGGACATGAGTTCCTTCAAGATTGCAGATACATCTTGCTGACTGGTAAGTACC